GCCTAGTACTCTTGTATAGTGTCTGTGAGTCTTGTGTTTTTTATCGGCATGTTTGAGTGAAGGTAGTATGCCAGACACTCTTATTCTGCTCATGTGCATACACACACCCACAAGCACACACACTAATCTAATGGGCAGAAACTTCTGAGGGTAGATTGCAGTTGTGGTCTGTTTAGCAGCTGAGGAAGCGGAGGCGCAGAGACCGCTTGTGTGCGGTTGCCGTCAGGAGCCGGGGTCTGAACATGGACAGCTCGTCTCACAGCTCATGCTCTCCGCTGCTGGGCTGCTCGTTTTCTGTGAGCGAAGCGAGCTTGGTTATGTTTAGACTTGGGGTGAATAAAGAATGAATGACCGGAGGAAAGAGTGTTAGTCATGATTTCTGTTTACCACGGTAAAGACTGTTCAGTGGTTGCTACTCACATGAAGCTTTTACTTAGGTAATTATAATTATAGCTATTAGGTCAATACTAATTTCCCCATTTACACATGAAAAAATCGAGATTAGGAGATGTGTTGTAATATATTCAAGTATGGATCATGCCATGGATAGTTACGTGATGAAGATTGACATTTAGTCAGTCAGGGTCTGTATTCTTAATCTTTATGGCATACTGTCTCCCAGTGTAGTTTGTTTAAATGTGGTTCACTGAGGAGTGTGGAAAAAGGTAAATTAATTCCAAGGAAATACTATATGACCACTTGCTTTTCCCCTGAAATGAAATTCCATTCTTTTTGTTTTCTGTGCAGTAAGGAAGAGCTGTTTATATACAGATATATCTTTAGTTACTGGATTAAATTCTTACATAGTAAAATTTGTGATCACTGGGAACGGGCATGGTGGTCTATTTTATTAGTTTTTTCACTTATATTGTTAGAACGGATAACTGGATTTTAAAATAATTACAGTATGAAAGATGATACATAATATTTAAAAAGAATTTGGAATCACTTTAGTATTCTGTACTACCTCAGGCATGTTCTTGAAACTTGGTTTTCATTTTATCATTGATACAAGGAATTCCTAATATGTAGCTATTTCCATTGGTACAAATTCTTAGTTATGTGTCTTTCAGTTATTCCTGTATATAATATTTTTGGGGAAGTGGATTAATTGGAAGATTAATTTATGAGAAATAGTATTTTAAGCTAGTGGCAGTCTCCTCTGAGGAAAAGTCAGATATGTTAGTATTTATGATATTGAAATGGAATTTATACAATAGCTCTGTGTCAGTCTGGTTAAAGATTATGAGGTTCTAAATTTCTTAGAGTTAATTCTGTTTTATCTAATTATGTTTGAGAATTAAGATAATTCTTACTGCATTCTTATTTCCTTTTGGAAAATATAGGAATTTTTGTATTGATTTTTATACTTTGGCTTGGTAAGGAGTGAGTTGATATTTGAAAAACAGTTGCAATTTGAGGTAAAGTGCAAAAGTCATCCAATGACGAGTTACTTTTATTCTTGGCTACCGTTTCTTTTTAAGGTATATAAAATTTCACTGATGGTTTTGCTCCTGTTTTTATAGTTGCATGTAGTCTTTATTTTTCCTTCTAGTATTATTTTTAAGTTACTTAGAAAGAGCACCAAGAAACTGACATGGTTGTACACCTCACAGTAGTATTTAAATATATATGAATAATATAAACTCTGTAAATTTATTGTATACTAAAACTTGCTACTTAGAATACCTTTAAAATTGTAGCACCATATGGTTTTCATCTTGTTATTCATAGTCTGCAGTGCATAAGTTCTCTACTGAAACGTCTGTCATAGTTTGACAGTCATTGCTTACAAGTAATTTTCTCTCTTTTTATTACAATGCTTCCCCAGCAAGGACAAGTTTGGAAGGTTTGCAAAGCTTTTCACCTTCCCTCTGCCCGCTTGCCCGCTTTCAGATCAGTTTTCATGTTTCATAATTTCTCTTTCTGCAATCCACAACATAGCTATCGTAAACAGTGAAAAAACATTAAATTACAGTATTGTATTTCCTCATACATAATAGATAATTTTTCAAAGGACATACCCTCTTTAAAATACAATGAAAAGAAGTTAAGTAGAAATGTTACCATTTTAGTAATTCACTAGGAAGCAGTTAATCATGTCACAGAATGAACAGTATTGAAGATTATTCTGTATTGCTAATAGTAGATAAAAAGTTCTTTCTAATAATAATACCTTACATTTGTACAATGCTTTACAGTTTAATACAGAGATTGCTGTACTGCTGATGTGGTCAAAATGTAAACATTTCCATTTGGTCTGTGCTTATGAGATATAGAGTAGATGTAGATTTCATTGTTTGAAGTGCTGCTGGTATGATGGAAAACAATGTTGTAACTCAGATTTTCGGCAACACAAGTTAGTACTCCAAGGCCAGTTTTAGCACCTTCCAGTTCTTTTGAACTAGGGCCCTTGTATTTAAAATGTATAGATTGAATGAGGAGAACATTTTGGAAAAGACATTTAAACATAAGCTTTTATTATATAACACATAGAAACATTTCCAGTACTCTTACTGAATATTTCATTTTGTAATACTTTATTAGCTTCAGATGAATACAATCCTACCTCAAACCAAGAATTTTTTTTCTTTTTCTTTTCTTTTTTTTTTTTTAGGTTTGAGCTTTTTCCTTCACTGCTGTTCTGCGCTAACTGCTTTGAAACTTTCCATGCATTTTTTTTCAGTAGAAGAACATCTCTGAACTGTCTCCCATTGCATATTTCAGCTGTGACAATCCCTGCACTTTGCCTATTCATTTATCACCTGCTCACCAAAAACAAGTCTCTCTCTAATTTGTGATTACAGATTTGCTATTATTTCTTGGTTTTAGAAAAGGATGCATTTCACTTTTTTTAATTACTGTTGTTTTATAGGCTTGTGGAGACCCCAAGGCAAAAACCATCCTACCTTATTGACAAAAACCTGGAATCTGCTGTGAAATTCATAGTCAGAAAATTCCCTGCTGTAGAAACTTGCAACAACAATGTAAGTGATTTAAATTTTTATATTACTTGATTTTAGCCATATGTAGTAATGGTCAGTACTTGAAGTAGCTCTTATTTATCTAAATCTTTATATTTTGAATATATAAACTATATACATTAAAGGTTTTTAGAGACAATATTCTTATCTCAGAAATTGGTGAAAAAAATGATTGAGCTACATTGCCATTTTACTATAGAAAAATAGGATCTTAATTTCCTACGTATACTTATTCCTTTTCAAGTTGCAGCAAGGAGTAAGGTAATAGATATGTATATATTTTCAAATATTAGTACTTGCATGACTAGTTAGGGAGTTTTTTGTTATAGTCATAGGTTTAACTTTGTCTTTTTTTTTTCTTTCCATTTATTTTTATTAGTTGGAAGCTAATTACTTTACATCATTGCAGTGGTTTTTGTCATACATTGAAATGAATTAGCCATGGATTTACATGTATTCCCCATCCCGGTCCCCCTTCCCACCTCCCCCTAACTTTGTCTTGAAGTTAGAAAATGTCTTCATAGAGCTTGTATTGTTTTTAATAATTAGCTGTGTTTAGCTTTAAAATGTGTGTTTCTTTTTATAATTGAGAAGTGCTATGAAAAACTAGTTTTAGGAAATTAGGGTTATTTTTCATCTTACTGTGGTCTTTTCATTTAAATTTTGTTGACTTGGACACTTTCTGCATGTTTTCTCTTTCTTCTTTTTTCTCTGGTGGCCTTAGAATTCTTTTCTCTTTCTTAATGTGCAAATTTAGTCTAGAAAGTTCCTCTTACATATAATCTCCCTACTTTTAAGAAGCTCTGCTTAAAAGATATTTTGTCATCTTTTGGTTTCCTCAAATCATGTGGATGTTCATTGAAGATTTGTATTTATCCTGTTATTCAGCTTTCACTTAAAAATATTTTAATGCGAAGGAAAAATACCAGTTAGAACTAACAAAATAAGTCTGAAGTGCTTTATAAATAATTTTTTAAAGTTTTTTTTATTTTAAAAGTTTTCTGTTTTTTGTGACTATAGATAGGTTAATAGAAATCTTTCTTTTGTTTCAGAGAAGATTTTGTTTTATCATTAGTATATTAAGATATCACAGTTAGTTCCTGATTACATATGGGTAATTGAAAATGTCTTCAGAACCCTATTATTGTGTGGAAAACTCTTTCTTCAATTGTTGATATTAGTTTGCTAACTCATCTGAGAGATTATATATTCACTCTAAAAGAGATTTTATAATGAAATCTGTTTTACATTTAATTTTATGCTTCTCTTCCTCATGGCTCATAAAATCTGTGATATGAGCTCTTGAGAGAATCTTTTCAGTTTAATTTACATGTGTGTGTAAATTTCTGTATGAGAATAAGCATAGTTCCTTGATATGAGACCTTTTATTAGAAAATGAGCAAGATCTGATTAAACATATTTTCACTATTCCATATCAATAAAATTTTTTGTTGAATAAATTGATAATCTTTGTTCTTGATTTGCTGGGCATGCTGTTTACAGTAATGCTAGGTTTTTGTTATTGTTTTGTTTTTTAGTAGTTTATTTTTCATCTTTGTAACACAAAATTGAGTTTTATTTTTATTTATTTATTTATATTTTTATTATTTAAGACCTTTATTAACAGGTGCTTGCAGTTTGTTGACTTTTTTTTTTTTGAAAAAAATCAAGCTGTAAACTTTTATTACAAATTAAAAATGAGGTTCTTAAAAATCTCAACTTGACCAGATATGAAACAATTTAAAAACCTTTAAAGGTGTATTGAGAAAAAACAGGCTTTTTTTTAAAAAACACGTTTGTCATTACCAAAAAGAGACGTCTTTAGGTAAAAATAATAAAAACCCCATGCTGCATAGATAATGCAGATAGTTCTAGTTATCTGGTCAACAGGCAAAAAGCAAGCACTTAAGGTCTTCAGCTCCGATCTTTTGTTCATTTCTTATTGCTGGAATTTCATATTCATTTCTTCTTGTTGGATGACTAAACCGGATGATGGTAGAGATGGTAAGCCGGCGTTTACTCAGCCCCGCCCTGCTCAGCCTCGGGAGCGGACGAATTCTCAGCTGGTGGATCGGCTGCTTTTGTCTCTTTGCCATCTTGTGGTTTAGGGTTTTCTGGGCGTCTGCGTCGGTAATTGAAGTTGCGGCGGTGCCGACGTTGAGGCGGTTGCTGACCTTGGGTCTCACCTCCTTGATTCTCCTTATCTTCTTCATCGCCGTCCTCTCTGGGCTGTCTTTGGCGAGGAGGGCCCCTGCGGAATCTTGGTCTATAACCCCGATACATATTCTGTCTCACTGGTCTACCTTGTTCTCCTGCACCCTGGTTGTCAGCACCCTCCATCACTTCTCCCTGCACAGGAGGGTTGGAGTACTGTGGTCGACGCCCATAGGGTCTCCGCATGTAGTAAGGTGGGAACCTCCGCCTGCGGCAGGGCCGGCGCTGTTGGGCCTGGCCGTCGGGAGCGCTCTCCGATCCCTCATTCTTTTCCCCACTCTCACTATTCTGGTAATTCTGCTGGTAATTGCGTGGAGGACCCCTGCGACGTGGATAGCGCCTATAATGGTTACGGTCTGCTGCGTATTTACTGCCTTGCACTGGAACTCCACCAGGGCCTGTAACATTTGCTGCCTCCACACCCTTTTCTCCTTCAACAACATCAAACTCCACAGTCTCTCCATCTCCTACACTGCGAAGGTACTTCCTGGGGTTATTCTTCTTTATGGCAGTCTGGTGTACAAATACATCTTCCTTGGTGTCATTCCTGTTGATGAAACCATATCCGTTCCTTACATTGAACCATTTTACTGTTCCCAAAACCTTCGTTGCGATGACCTTGTCCCCGCCGGCAGGCGCCGCCAATGTGACGCCGCCCGGGCCACCGCTCCCTGCGCCGCTGCCCGTCGTGCCGGGCTTGGTGTCGGCAGCGCTGAGGGCGGGGGCGGCGGGGGGGGGCGGGCAGCGGGCGGCTGCTGGGTCTCGGCCTCGCTGCTCATAGTTGCGGTGATGGTGACTGGGGCCGGCTGCGGCGGCTGCGGCTCCTCCCGGGGTGTGATGGTAACTAGGCCGGCGGCGGCGGTGGGGCTGCTCAGGGCTCTCTGGGGTCCGCTCTCCGCTCCCGTTACCAATCGAACTACAAAATTGATTTTTAAAATAACTATTCAAATAGGATTGACATAGCATACAGTTCACCTGTTTAAAGTGTACAGTTCAGTGGTTTTTAGTTCATCCACAGGGTTGTATCATTGTAGGCTTAACCTATGGTTTAACTCAAGCTTTGTTTTACCATTGTGTTTTTTGCCAATTTTACATGTAGCATTCTAATATTTTAAAATACTTAAGACCAAACCCCAAAGATCGACCAATAAATGTGTGTATACACTGATGCGTCATCTACTATCTAAGTATGTCCAAGCTTCCCTCGTAGCTCAGACAGTAAAGCGTCTGCCTGCAATGCGGGTGACCCAGGTTCAATCCCTGGGTTGGGAAGGTCCCCTGGAGAAGGAAACAGCAACCCACTCCAGTATTCTTGCCTTGAGAATTCCATGGACAGAGGAGCCTGGTAGGTTGCAGTCCATGGGGTCACAAAGAGTTGGACACGACTGAGCAACTTCACAAGCACAATACATCTCTAAAGCAAAAACAAAAAACTCACCAGTCCTTTGCAGCGCAAAAAGAACCAAGAAGAATTAAAACCAATCATAAACAGAAATTATTCATTACATTAGAGTTTTTCCACAGAAAGAATCTGAAGTTCTTTGAGTGATTTTGTAAGGAAATTTAATTTGCAGAGCAGAAGCAAACGTGTAAAGTGCATTATCAAGGTCTCGCAGGCTGCAAGATGAACTTAATTGGATGTGAATGGTCAAGATCAAGGCGGTAATTAATTTTTCATTGTTTTCTTTTTGAACTTTTTGGATCAGTTCTATTTTTGGCATGTCTTCTGCTGACTACTGGAGACATCTTCTGTTTCATTTAGACCTCTCTTGGTTACTCCTTTGCAATACCAAGTTGCAATCTCTGGCTAAGTCCTAACTCCTTATTCACTTACTATCGATACTGGGATACTGTTGCTGCCTCTTTCCCTGTTCACTTTCTTAATCATTTTTAGTTGTGTAATTTTCATACCTTACGGTCTTTGTAGGAGAACACAACTTGAAGTATTGATTTAGTATCTTACTGTCTATCCTTTTTATGACCACAGTTAAACTACAGTGAAATCTTCTACTGTCCTTTTCAAAGTTCTTCACCCAAAGTTGGTTCTTCTGTCTACAGTGTGGTCCAACTATATGCAATCTTTAGAACAGTTTAAAGAAGTAAAATTTCCTTGCAAAACTCCATTTGTTTCTTGTTTACATATGCCTAATCTTTCCCCACAGCCTGACCCATTTTTCACTTTCTGCACTCAGTTTTGTTCAAAGGTAGCAGTTTTCACAAAAGGAAGGGATGGGGAACAGGCAAAAAAAACACTATAGGTCTACTGCTTTATTTCTAGGCTTCTCAGAGAAATTTGGTCAGACATTTCTAGTCATACATAGCTACCTGGTTTGTATGTGAGGAAAAATGTTGCATTTGTCTTTAAAAATTAAGGGAACATTAATTTTGACAGTAGATATCCTAATCAAAGAGCTTTACACTAAGAACCTTGGAAGAAGATCTTTGTCAGTTTGTCTCTCTTTTTGCTCTAAATAGGGAAGCAACAGAAGGCTGGGTGATTAAAAAAAAAGGCAAAGTGAAATATACACTTCATGATTAGGAAAAAGTATCACAGAAAAAAAATCACCATTCTAGCTTCTGGAGGATGCAAAAGCTAAAGAGAAACACCTTTGTAATGTAATTAGCCTCCAACTAATAAAAAAAAAAGAAAAAGAAAAACACCTAAAACACCGATATATTAGTGTGGGAAAAATATGGCTGAGTCTAGCAGTTAATTGAAGAACATTTAATGAAGGGACTGTTTAGGAAGGTTTGGGCAGAGGTAAGGAACTCTCCAGAAACTACAGAATCTATTCATCAGATGCATGACCAATTTATGCCATCCAATTTGTTGCTTATAGCACAGTGGTTAAGAATATGCATGAACTTTGGAGTCAGACTGACAGAATCTCATACCAGCTTTATCACTTTCTATGGGTATGACCTTCTGTAATTAAAAAAAGAAACTATCTGCATTTTAGTTTCCTCACCTGTAAAATGAGGATGATAATATTTCTAAGGAATATTATCCTCTGAGAATAGCTAAAGAATACCTGGAGAATCCCCATGGACAGAAGAGTCTGGAGGGCTACAGTCCATGGGGTCGCAAAGAGTCAGACACGACTGAGCAACTAAGCACCTTAAATTGAGAGAGGCAGATGAGAAAATGTAACTCAAAGTACCTGACACATAGTGTGAAAAACACATAAATAATAAATTGGATTCCTTATTTTATTCTTAGTAAGGATACTATAATGTTGACCACAAAAAATATTATTTAGGATCAGGTTTGGTTGAGAATAATTAAAAAAAAATCACAGCTGAAAGAAGCTTAAATAAAACTTTGTTTCACACAAAATCCAGATAAAGAATAGGAAGGTTTGGTATGATAGTTCTGCTCTAAGAAGCCCACTTGCATCTTCCATTTCTATGTTTTGTCATCCTCAGTGAGTGGCCATTGTCTTCATGAATTGAGATAGTGGTCTCTGGGTCCTTGTTTCATGTGGGAGAATGAAATAAGAGGGGAAGACTGTCAAAAAGAGAACACAGCAGTCTCTTAAGGTTCTTGAAAGCTTATGTCCTAGTGGCAAGAACTAGCCTACAAGGGAGACTGAGAGATGTAGACTTTATTCTAAGGAAGGAGGAGACATTGAAGGCTAATTAATAAAGTCAACAACTATTTCAAATTGTCTTTATTATCCTCAAGGCCTCAAAAGCTACCTTTATTTTTCCCTTTTTTTTCCTCCTGCTTTAGCAATCATAGGCATACCTATTTTCTGTTCTATCTTCAACTTTCTTTGTTCTTTTATGTATGTGATGAGCATTCCTATTATTTTCCTGCACTTAAAAAAATTATTTTGCACTTATTAAAGTTGAACAAACATAAGTTTTAGAATAATCCTTAGGAACTTTGGGCTTCACTGGTGGGTCAGACAGTGAAGAATCCGCCTGCAGTGCAGGAAACCTGGGATGGATCTCTCCACTATCTCTCCACTATCGATCTCTATTCCTGCCTAGAGAATTCCAGGGATAGAGGAGCCTGGTGGGCTATAGTCCATCGCAAAGAGCTGGACATTACTGAGCAACTAAGTCATGTGAGCAACACATACACACATGCTTAGGAACTTCAATTTGGGACTCTTTTCTCTAGACTTCTCTCATAGCCCTGTATCTCAGGCTGCTTTATATTAGACTTCCTTGTGTATGTACAGTTCTATGCTCACCCAGTATGTGAGCTGAAAAAAAAGTGAAAGTTAGTTGCACAGTTGTGTCTGACTCCTTGTGATTCCACGGGCTGCAGCCTGTCCCGCTCCTTTGTCCATGGAATTCTCCAGGCAAGAATACTGGAGTGAGTTACCATTTCCTTCTCCAGGAGATCTTCCTGACTGGGGGATCGAACTGGGTCTGCTGCACTGCAGGCAGATTCTTTACCAGCTGAACCACTAGGGAAGCCCAAGTGAAAGTAAAAGTTACTCAGTCATGTCTGACTCTTTGCGACCCCATGGACTGTAGTCCACGGAACTCTCCAGGCCAGAATACTGGAGTGGGTAGCCATTCCCTTCTCCAGGGACCAAACCGAGGTCTCCCACATTGCAGGCAGATTCTTTACCAGCCGAGCTACCAGGGAAGCCCAGAATGTGAGCTAGGGAGATTAAAATCTACACCTTATACAGCTTCATATCTCCTCTTAGAATAACAGTATTGTGCACATTTTAAGTATTTATTGTACAAACATTTACATTTAAATCCATACAGAATTGTCACTATGAATGATTGAATATTTCACAACACATATATAAACAGTTATATGTCATACCCGTGATTTGTTTCTGAAATTTTATAAGTAGGATTTTATAACTGAATCATTGTAAAATATATTTGTGGGCCACAAAATATAATTCTATTATGAATTCTTCTATAAAGCCAAATTTATTCCTCTTCCAATTTATATATTTTCCAGTTTGGGTTTTCAAATGTTTACTTTCCTTACAGTGGGTACTTTTATACTTCTCTCAACAAAAAATAAGTTTTCAAAACACAGTTCTGTAACTTCTAGTCAGATTTATTGAGATATACTTTACATACAGAAAAATTCACACTTTTTAAGGCCTATTGGTCTATGCTAGCTAAATTTCTATGATTACTGCAAATAAAAAGCTATCATCTACTTTCTAAATCTCTCTGAAGCCTTATGTTCTAGGGACAAACAGCAGAAATCTCTTAACTGAAGTGAAACAATTTGAAGAGCTTACCAAAGGAACTGTGAAGACTATGCTTTATTTGATGAGAGAAATAAAATCTCCAATCAAGCTTTTTAAAACTTACTTAATCTTTTCTAAGTTTCCTAATCATTTTTAAAATTTTTTGCTTTTCCAGAAAACAGTAGGAAGAAGAAATCTACAAGATGGGCAATTCTTATAATAACTTTATAGGCTGATTCACACGGTATGACCTATTTTTCAAAGACTGAAATACTGAAAGGAAATAGAAAAGGACATACACTGATTATACTTGCCATGAAATCATATATGCATAGGAAAATACATGATTATTACCTTAGCACTTACAATAAACTTTATATTATGCGTGACCTCAGTCACTTCTGTGGTGTCTGACTCTTTGCGACCCTATGGACTGTAGCCTGCCAGGCTCCTCTGTCCATGGGTTTCTCCAGGCAAGAATACTGTTGTGGGTTGCGGGGTCCTCCTCCAGGGAGGATATTCCTCACCCAGGCATCAAACCCAAGTTTCTTGCATTGCAGGCGGATTCTTCACTG